ACGGCCTCATTTTCTACAGGGAGACAGCTCAGCCTGGTGATGTCCCCAGCAGGGCAGGGAACTCCTTCCAGATGTCAGCGAGGACTTGCCTAGGTCCATCCCATAACACTGTGGGGACCACAGCTCACCCCATGGCAGCAGCCACGATGTAAATGGAGGGTGCAACAGTTTTTTTAACAGCTGGACAGTGGCTTTTTTCCTCCCTCTCGCAGGTCGGAGTTTCTCTGCAGAACATCTGGGAGAGAGAACTCATTTTCCACAATAAAGGGCTGGCAGTTTATTGATAATCCCCCAGACAAATTCTGCCAGATAAACTGCATCCTCCCTCAGATGCTCCCCACTACTTCTGGACAGAGGTTTGGGTGTGCTTTCGCAGCTCTGCCATCCCTTATACAAGAAGGAGCCTGCTCTGCTCCCAAACACCTCCGGGGCTCACCATAACCGACAGATGTGGGAGCTTCTGACACAGCACAGTCCTTCTGGCAAAAGTCATGCTCCTGTTTTTCGAAAGCCTTGCTCCCTTAATCTACCTCTCTCCAGCCAGGGAGGCATAAAGCCCATCTGCTCATCTAATGCCAGACCTGTCTCACTCCTAGAATAATTTGAGGAGTCCAAGATCTCAAAACAAATCAAACCGCTTGGCTTCCAAACATTAATTAGTTATCCTTGTCATCCCTCTCTGAAGTGTGTCACCGCTCTGTCTTCTAGGCCATAGGAAGTCAGACGATATAGGAAAGCTTTACTCTAGATATCTACATTTTCATTCAGAAAGTCTGAAACTCCACACTCATGAAAGGATCTACTGTGCAAAACGCACACCGTGTATGGCAAAGCACGCCCAGGCGTTGCAGAGGTAGCTGTGAAGAGAGCTGAACTCAATGCAAACTTGAGTGTCCACTGCTTCCAGCCAGAAACACCTTCCTGACTTAGAAGATGGATATTCTGCAGGTGGAAACGGGGATATACTCGCTGTAGCCACAGGAGAAAGGTACATCAGTCTCTGCAAGCGTGGTGAGCAGGAGAAGGGTTTTGGCCAGCACTGACAGCATGGAGAGCTTTTATTCCCTTTTCCCCCAGACCTTAGCTCCATTTCCCGCTAGAGCTCCAGGATTTAATGCAAGAAACTCCAAAGTGTGCATCACTTAACCACTGACCTCAGGACTTGACCTTGTCTGGCAGATGAAGTCACCTGGCTTTGCACCGCAGCCCATCCCATTCATCCTACTCAAGCCTGCAAGCTCGACTTCACAAGGGGAAAACTCTTGCCGTCCCTCCTCCAGTGTTTTGACCAGCGCTGCAGGTGTTCTGCTGCCCAGGTTGGTTGTCCTTCCCGAGATCATTCCTTGAATAATACAGTGTCTTCTGGGAGCTTCACAGTGATAAAACAACTCCATGACAGGTTGCTCTGGATGTTCTTGCTTTTGGTCTTCTTCCTTTTTCCCAGGACTGTATCCCATCTCTCACCATCGCCAGACATGAATGCTTAGGAGGAAAATGTGAACCAGCACATATAATAATTCTTACCCTTTAAGCAGATTTATTCCCACTAAATATTTTCTTTTCCATGTCTTCTTCCCCTGTGGGCTAAACATTTTTTTTCCCCATTCAGTTCACCATTCTCAAGCTTAAGTAATTTTTAATGGATATCTATGTGCTTTCTGCTTACACTGTGATGTATTTAGGACCGCATGCTTTTTTTACAATTCAGACAGGTTCAGAATGAGCCCTGTAAGGTGGAAGCCAGTCTCAGCCCCTACACCCACTCTATGCAGCGTCACACTTTGCTGAGCCCACTCAATTCCTCCTGCATTACAAATATAAGCACAGGAGCTTCCTAACTGCATCTCCTGCTGCTGCCGGCTCCGCCTCTTGGAACAGGTTAGATTCCCTCCTGAATTCTCTTGTTATTAATATCACAAACCAAGCTGTTCTGAGAGCAGTGTCCCATTAATCATTTTAGCTCTGCTGCAGTTTTCACCTCGCTTCCTCTTCCTGTGCCTGAACAGCCTTCAATAACATTCGGACTCTGTGGGCAATGCTTGGTTAAAACAGCAGGTCTGCTAGGGCAGGGAAGGACCCTGACCTGGGCAAGCTGGGGCAAACAAAGGTGGGACAAGGATACAGCCACGGCTGCATTACAGCATGAAAAACTGTCCTACATTGGCTGTAGGTAGTAGGGACTTGAAGGGAGGAGAGCTACCCCCATTAAATCTTTGGCTCTAAACTTGAATATCTAATAAAATATGAGGGCAGCTCAGCAGCTCGTGTGAGTCAGCACCAACGTGGGCAGCAGGTCCAGTCAGAGATTTCTGGGCTCTGTTCACACTTGAGGGCACCGCTTGCTTTTGCTCTCTTCCTTCCTTTCCACGTTTAATCCTGCGTGTTACAAGCAAAGATCTCAACCACTCTGAGCATCTACCTCTGGGTTACCTAACAAAGGGCCAAAAGATGCTTACAGAGCATCTTCCCAAAAATCTGCCTCTGATACCATCTCATTGCCTGAATCCCTCAAGGGGCTATTGCGTCTTCCTAGGTGCTGGCTCTCAGAGACGCAGTAACACAGCATCCCTGTGGCCAACCCAAACCTTCCCTCTTGCATCCAACGCCCTTCTCAGTTTTCTCTCCATTGCCATCATCTTTGCCCCCATCGGAGGCAGGGATTTCACTTCCCCTTTTCTGCCTTTGCATTTTACGAAAGCCTTTCCCCCAGTGCTTGGCTGCATCCGGCAGCATCGATCAGCATCCAGCAGCTGAATTAGCTGCTCGACCCCACGATGCAAACACCAGCACACAGGACCAGGTTCCACCTGGCTCGTACTGAAGCCTCCCACAGCTGCAAGCCTTTGTACCTGCCACTTTGCCCGCATGCTGCAGCTTTAATCCGTAAGCAAACAACTTTTTTTTCCCAGTGATTTCTGCTGAGTCAGTTAATGCCTCCGCGAGGGCTGCTGCTTCTCCACGTGGGAACGCGATTCTGGGGAATAATTACAGAGAGTTTAAACAGGGATCTTCGGCAGCCAAATTGCTTCATATTCAGGCTGTTGGCCAGGAAGGCAGAGCCCAAAATCTTCTCGTTGGCTCTGTGAGAACATACATCGTGCTTGTGTGCCCATCATGGGTGTGCATCGCCCGTGGGCTAAGATCACTCGTTACTCAGCAGCGCCCCGGCACCCGGCACCAAAAAGGTGTGCTCACGGCTTGGCAGGTCCAACAAAGCAAACTGCTTCGCAAATTAGCCAGCTTGGATTTACTGAGCATCCCTGTGTGTGCCCTCTTCTCCGGGCCATGCCCACCAAAGGATTTTTATCCCCCTTCCCTGCTGGATTTGGGAACATGCTGCGCAGCAGAAAGCCGGTCGCTGCGAAGCTCTGGTTCTGCGAGGGAGATGATGGAAGCACACTGCTAGTAACTTTTCCCCCTCTAAATTTTGAGGCATATTTTAAGGTTGTGAAACATACTGACTGTGAAATAGAGATAAGAACTAGAGTAGACACAAACAGCGTAGGCGTTACTCCCATTTTTTTGCAACTCCCACTCCGTTGCTAAAATAGTACAGCAAGCAGCACGCTGCTCCGTGCCATCTTTCATGGACCACGTGCCTGGACATCGGCAGACTGAAGCAGAAGCAGAGCTGCAACCTGAGGCACGCGCAGAGGTGCCAAATACTTCCTGTTCCTTAAAAATCAATGGAGAGAGAGAGGCTCTGTCTTAACAAAAGATAGAATTAAATACTAATAAATGGTATAGAAATATATTAAAAAGTAGTAATATCATCCTGAAGTGCTGCCAAACTCATGTCATACTGAGCTAGAGCGGTTTCCATCAAGAAAAGGGGCAACGTGAAGCTGCATCCACTCAGTTTCTGCTCACATTGCACAGGATGCACCCGGTCTTTAGACCACACCTGCGCCGTAATTCCTAAGTGCCCTCAACTCTTTTGCAATTCTAAACGCCAGCAAAATACACTTAATTAGGTGCAGACCAGTTGCAGAAATCAGATAAGACTCGCTGGCAGGTGGCTGCATCCAGGAGATGCATCTCCTGATGGATGGGGACGTTGTGCAACTCGGGCAGAGCATCACCCAGCCGTGGGCTGGCAGCGGGGAGAGCACTTGCAGTAAGACGCACGAGTGTCACATCGGTGGAGGAGAAACTCGTGGACGGCGGTGGTGGTGGTGGTTTTCCAACTCAGGGGACAGTCGCCGGAGCCCCCCACGGCAGGACTGGGTGAGTACCTGCCGGCGCTTCTCCTAAGGGACCCAGGAGTGGGGCGGTGGCACAGTGGGGATTTGCAGGAGCGAGTCACCACCCTGCACTGAAATCTGACCTGAAGAACCCTCCTCTGCTCCATTTCTTCCTTTTTTTCCTGTAAAACAGAGAGGGGGATTTCTAATCACCCTCTCAGTTGATTGCTAAGGCAGGGACAGCACTGAGGAGTGAGGTTTTTGGCTCCTTTCTAGCCCAGGTGGCATTTTGGGCAGGGATTACTGCTTCCACTGCAATTAGAGTGATTAACAACTCTGCACAAATGTTGGAGAGGCTTCGGAGAGGCTGAAGGGGTTCTTCAGACCTCAATTTGGGGGAGCCACGGGATACAGCAGCAGCACCTTGCCATAAATAATCGTATTTATACACCAGCCATTAATCACATTTCCTCGCTCGCCCTGCGCTGCACTTGAGTTTAATGGGACACGGGGCTGCGAACAGAAAGTGGGTTAAGTTGGAGGAGAAAAGGGCAGAGGAACGGGCTTTAGCTTTGGACACAAAGTTAAAAAAGGGGAGAAATGTGTGTTTTCTGCCAGTTGAGGATTTTTCCCTGCTGTACCAGGAGTTTGGGACCCCTTCAGCGCACAGCGCTGACTCCCTCCCAGCCGGGTGGCCGTTTTGGGGTGGGATTTGGCCGCGAGGGCAGGAGGGTAGGACCATGCGTTGAGGGGTGAAAGGCAACACCTGCAGCCAACAGCATCCACAGCCGCCCTCTCCCTCTGTCCACAGCCACCGGCATGGACTGCGACCACACCGTAACCGTCGAGGTCTGCAAGGAGGCCGACGTGCGGGACGGAGAGTGAGTACCCGGCAAGGGGGGAGGCCGAGGCTAGGGGTACGCCTCAGCTCTGCAGGGCACCCACCTCTCCCCCTGCCCCGCAGGCTCTGGGAGGTGATGGTGGCCGGCTACCCGGTGCTGCTGGTGAGGAACAGGACGCAGTTCAGCGCCCTGGGCAGCAGGTGCCCCCACTACGGTGCCCCGCTCAGCAAAGGTAACCCTAGAAGCCACGTCGGGGGGGGGCAGAAGCCACGTCGGGGAAGTCACCTCTCACCGCTCCGTTGCGGGGGGCTTTGCTATTGCAGGAGTCTTGAAAGGGGAGAGGCTGCGCTGCCCCTGGCACGGCGCCTGCTTTAACATCAGAACTGGAGACTTGGAGGAATATCCTGCTCTGGACTGTCTTCCCTGCTTTAAGGTGACTTCTTGTCTCTTTCTCGTCCCAGCTTGGGCCATGTCCTCCGTACCACCCACGTTCATTCACTCTCACATATGCCATGTTCCTGACACCAACTCAAAGGACCCTGCCCTGGCCACAGCTCCGTGATCCAGGTCACACAGGGCTACACATGGGATGATTTGTTGGGATCGTGTAACTCCCTGCCCTACAGCTCTTTTTGATCAAAGGTGCTGCTGCTGTACATCCTGGTATCCCTCACAGCCAGCACAGCTCTTCCTGAATGCCCTTGAAATGAGGAGAAAAGCTCAAAGGCTCCTCAGCATCATTTGACATCCAAGATCCCTACAAGTCACTCTCAGTGTATCAGAGAGAGATGGTCTTCTGGACCAGAACCTCCCAGGAAAGCTCCCACCACCACCTCATGAATATGGTGCTGAAATGCACTCTTCTTTCACCCCTTCAGGTAACAGTGGAAGATGGAAAGGTGTTTGTTACAGCAAAAAAAAAGGTACTGACCTCACCTGCTGTCACTAAACACAAGCAGCACCTTGGGCTAGGTATGATTTCCACATTTCTCATTTTCTTCCAGGATCTTGAAAGCAGCCAGAGGGTGAAGGATGCAAGCAAGTGGTGCCTTCTCAACCGGCACACCCTGCTGCTTCTGGGGGGAGGTCAGTGAAGTCGTCTGTATAGCCCCCTCACCACATACGCTGTGAGCTGCCATCCTCTTCTCCAGGGAGGACTTGTTTTCTTCCTCCTACTCCACAGTGGTGTGTAAAAGGGCTGAGATGAGCATCTCTCGTAGGTGTGGCTGCCCTGGCATGTGCAGAGACACTTCGGCAGGAGGGCTTTACTGGCAGGATCATCATGGCCACCAAAGAGAAACATGTTCCGTATGACAAGTCCAAACTGAGCAAGGTTCGTACATGAGAAGGGCAGGACTGTGCCTGGGTACTACGTGTGAATCAGGGACATGGCCCACACTCAGGACCAGGCTGAGTGACCGAGTGAACTGTTCTGGCAAAGCAGGAGTGCTGAGGCACCCACAAAGAAAAGGGGTACAATTTTCAGCTAACATCTTACTTCTTCCTCCCAGAAAGTCTTTGATGGCAGTCCACCATAAGCTGATGGTTTTATTCCCTTTCACTGAGTTCTTCCCACTAGAGTTGGAGTTGATGGGTTTTTCTGAGGGGGAACAAAAAGATGATGGGGCAGCGTGGAGAGCTGTGATTTCCTAATGCAGAATTTACCTCTTACACAAACTTACTTCCCGGAAACACTGCGAGAGTACTGCTGTCTGCAAAAAGTGCTTCATTTCATATTTCTGTTTTGTTTCCAGGAAATGAACTTGAAAGCTGAGGACATGTACCTGAGGAAACCAGAATTCCTCGATGCTCACTGTATAGAGCTCTGGACAGAGAAAGAGGTACAGGAGCAGCTGAGCTTAGTCCTCAATGGGTGGTCCTGTCCCTGCCATGGGAAGGAGATGCCCACAGCTGCAGGCATAACGCTAAATTTCCAGAAATTAGGGCTCTGCCTAAGTACTGAGTGTACAAGTTATCTTCTGGAACAGCACTCCAAGGCCAGTACTAGGGATGGTGTGCGTGCCTTGGGTGTAATGTTGATCTCTGCTACCCATGAACAGATGTGCCCATCACATACAAAGAGGTTGACCCCTGAAACTCACCTTCTATATCTGGTTCCTTAGAGGAACCCAGATTTGGTGCTGCCATACTTAGTGCTCCTAAAGCCTAAGACCTGTAGAAAGTGAGGGAGATGACCTCAGCATTTCTTATCTCACCTGAATGTCCAGAAATAGGGCATGCAGTCACAGGCAGCAGAACAGCTTGATGTGGCAGGACACAAGGTATCCGTCTGATCTTTGCCTCCTTTCTCCTGCAGGCAGTGTCGGTGGATTTCCAGAAGCAGAAGGTCCGTTTCATGGATGGGTCCTCGCTGAAGTACAATCAGCTGCTCATTGCAACAGGCAGCCAGTGAGCACGCAAAGCACTTGCCATGCACAAAATTTTAGACAGAACAAGAGGGCTTGAAGGTCTTCTAGAGGCACGTGAAAGGGAGGCAGTAGATGAGATAAAAGGACAGAACGGGATGACACAGCCAAGAGATTGCATGGGTTTGTGCTCCCCCCTCATTCTTTCTGTTTAATTTCTAATCATGAGACCTATCTGGATTCTCTTTCTTTCAGCTCCAGCTCCCTCAAAGTCCCAGGTGCAGACCTGCAGAACGTGTGCATTCTCCAAACCCCAGAAGACTCTAGCAAGATCTTAGAGCTGGCGACTGGGAGGAATCTGGTGATCATAGGAGCTTCGTTCATAGGTACCAGGCTGGAGTGGGTATCAAGCCATCAGGGGCAGCCCTGCAACCCACTTCTGCTGCACCTGCAGATTAACTGGGGGCCCTCAGGGAAGGGATGTTCATTCATTGCCCGGAGTGGTTCCTCCCCAAAGCCCTATAGCTGGTGGGGGTGTGCACTACACAGCATGCAGCCACCCTTTCCTCTGATAGCCAGACACTTTGAGAGCTATAAACAGCTCCTGGATGTGGACAGAGGGAAATGTGCCTAATGAAAAGGTCACTGTCCTTCAGAGGAGCTGGACTCCCCGGAAGCATTGGGAAAGTGAGGGGGTACAGCACAGAAAGGAGCTATTTTGAACCAGGAGCTGTTCTTTGCATTTCCTCATATCTGGGTCCACAGTGTAGGAGAATGAAAAACAGGAGGCTAAATACCTCAGCCCAGAAACGCAGAGAAGAGCAGTTAAGCATGGCACTACATGGGTTTTGTTCTCCTCACCTGGAAGGGGAAAAGGTTTCCAAGGAGAAGGGTGCAGGTTCAAGCTTGCAGCAGGCTTACCTCGGGCATGCCTTTCCCTCGCAGGAATGGAGATAGCTGCCTTCCTCTCAGACAAGGCTGGTGCCATCTCCGTGGTGGATAAAAAGGAGTTCCCTTTCCAGAATGCAATGGGTCCTCAGGTCGGAGGTGTCGCCAAGAAGGTTAGGAAAACCTGGTGCCAACTTCTAGGACGGAGAACACGCGCTATCCAAGCAGCCCTGTGATCTGCAACAGCCCAGGAAATCCAGCCCCTGCGCTGAGTCAGAACCCTGCGTGCTCAGCCACCTTCCTCACGTCCAGCTCTCTGAAGGAGCGGTGCACGCACGGCTGGTCCCAGCCTCCCTCCCACACACACCGTGCTCCCCAGTTCAGCTTCATCCCTAAGCCCCGCTTCATCCCAGACCCACCTCCTGCACCAGTCCTGACCAGGACAGCGGAGCAAAGCCGGGCTGCCAGGCACCACGGGCCAGCTGGGACACAACTGGAAGCTCTCTGCAGCCTGGAGCAGCAGCTAAGCTGCCTGCCTGGTTTTTGGCTGGGTACAGCTGTTATTACAGCACTACAGCCTGGAATTTCCTAGTGAATACTCAAACCAGCTTCCTCTTCCTTTTCAGATGCTGCAAAATAAAGGCGTGAAGTTTTACATGAAAACAGAACTCTCTGAGCTGAAAGGAAAGGATGGAAAGGTCAGTCATGCTGTTGTGATCCCTGAACTCCTAATTTTAGGGGGGGGGAAAAAAAACCAAAGTGAGATATAACCCAGTGCCTACATCTAGGCTTTCCTCTCCCACATCCAGACTCTCACATTTCTTTTAATTGGGCACAACTCTGGGCTCAAAGGGCACCAGGAGGCGTTTGTATCTTGGGGAAAACAGTGTGATTTTCTCTAACGTTCCTGGGAACACATGTCAGTTGGACAAGGTGATCTGAACCTGGGGAAAAAAAAAGATAGCAGAGAATGAGGCAGCAGGGACGCTGCAGGAATTAGGGCAGAGTTGTTAATGATTCTTGCTTCCTTCCTAGGTCACAGAGGCTGTTCTTGCCAACGGAGAGAAAATACCTGCAGATGTGGTAGTGACGGGAGTAGGTAAGAGACCTCAGTTGGAAGAAGGCGGCGGCTTTGGGAATGAGGAGAACAAACAGCAAGCCCAGAGCATCCCAGTACATTCCCAGGACACCATTTCCTACCGTCACTTTCCCACTCTGTTATCATCCAGCCCTTCCTCTTGGCCCCAAACACCTGGAGAAAGTCAGCAGCCCATGAGCAAACACTTGGCAGGAGGCAAAGAGCTCCTTACGCTCTCAGCATGACTCGGCACACTTGCTGAGCTCCGCGGGTCACTGCTGTGTTATCAGAGCATGCCTTGTTCTGGGCCCTGGTTTTATTGCCCCTGGATTAGCCCAGCCCCAGCTCAAGCACTGGTCACTGCTGCAAGCTGCTCTGCTCCAAGCAGCTTGCTTCAGGGCCAAGGCCAAGTTTCCTGTCTGCCTTTGCAGAGCTTTGCTGCATTTGTCTTTGCCCTCCTCCCTGCAGGGGTGACCCCCAACTCAGCGTTTTTGAAGGGCACCTCCATCGCCAGAGATGACAGCGGTGCCATCCTGGTGGATCTGGTAAGTGCCGGCTGAGTATCTCTGGTCCACATCCAATCCCTTCCCTCTCATCATTGCACTAATTGTTTTTGTCCCATCAGCTCATGCAAACCAACATCCCAAACGTCTTCGCTGCGGGGGATGTGGTCTCATTTCCCGTAGCACTGCTAAACGGGGAGCGGTCCAGTATCCATCACCAACAAGTGGCTGAGGCCCATGGTGAGACAGCACAGCCGTCTTACTTTCCAGCTCCGCTCGGAGACGGGCACGGAGGGAACGGGGCAAAAGGGACAGCAGGATGACAAGAGGCAGGGAGCATTACTTTGAGGACCTACAAGAAAAATATTTCCTCTGCTGGTTCATCACAGGTCACATTGCTGCCTTAAACATGCTGAAGAAAGGGAAGGAGTTGCACACTGTCCCCTTCTTCTGGACCACAATGCTCGGGAAAACCATCCGCTATGCAGGTAGGAGCAGGCAGAGAGATGGGAGCAGCCAAATGGCTTCCTAGCCCGTCTGCTCATCCACCAGCTGGGTCTGGGGCTTGTAAACACACAGTGGTTGCAAAGTTTACCTAAAGCAGCCTCAAGTTTTGGACTGGCTTCAGTGGTGGGTTTGTGAACCCTGTTTCTGAGCTCTGAGCCTGCATATGACCCAGAGCTCTTGTTCTTTGCTGATATCCAGTGGCTTAGAGGTCTCAAAAGAGGAAGAACTTCTCTCTCCAAGACAAAAAGTTTGGGGTCATGACGCAGTCCTGGACCTTTGGGCCAGTTCTGCTTGGCCTGGGCCTCCGCACCTGCTCCCCAGCCCTGTCCCAGCCCAGACCTCTGCCCCAGCCAGTTGCTGTCCCCTCTGCTCCTACCTGTGACAATGCTGGGGTGGGATGGGTGGCAGCTGCTGCAGCAGGGCTCTCCAAGGGCTGTAGTGCTCTCTCTTGCAGGCTGCGGGAAGGGATACACGGAAACTGTTGTGAAGGGCAGCCTGGAGCAACAGAAGTTCCTGATCTTTTACATCAGGTGAGTGAATCCATGGCCGGGCTGTGTGCCCTGGGAACAGGGCACGGTCCTCACGGCCGGCAGAGCTCCCGCAGAGGGTCCCCATCACCTCCCATGGCTGCGCACCGCAGGCAGCTGCTGGCTGTCAAACCAGCAGTGAGATGGTTTTGGAGCAAACCAAAGCAGGGCAGGGAAGGAGAAGAGGACGAGCTTCGATGAAGACATCAGCTAGGCAGGAAGCCTGGGACACATCTCTCCCTCTGCCCCACTGCTCCCAGGCTCAGTGCCCAGCTCCCAGCAGTGCCAGGCAATGTTCTGTGAGTCCCCGTGCACCCTGCAGTACCAGCCGCCCTGCCTGGAGCCCTCCAAAATACATCTGGCCTCTAGCCAGGGTGCCACGGGATGCTGCCGTGCCGAGTTACGTACGCTGAAGAGATCCACGTTCTTACGCTTTCCCTTTCAGGGACGGCTCAGTGACTGCAGCTGCCAGCCTGAACTGCGACCCCATGGTGTCTCTGATTGCAGAAGTTTTGTACTCAGGGAAACAAATCTCTAAAGAAGAAGCAGAGTAAGTGACACCCTGACCGGGCCGGTGGCTCTGCGGAGCATTCCGCATGCCAGCAGAGCCCACCGAGAGACGTGAACTGGAGATGAGTTACTGCAAATCCCCAACGTACCTCTCATTTGCAGGGCCTGTGACATCTGCAATGCACCCTTGCTGGCAGAAACCTAAGCTCGGTACATGCCCTGCTGCGAGGGGCACAGAGTCAACCAAGTGTTAACAGCTCCACATCCTCTCATCCTGGCACAAGAGAAATAAAATCCATGAGTAAAGCTGAACCCAGCGCCTGCATTTTGTGTTTGCGGACTGCCCTTGGCTGCTCGCTCGCGCACCGGGGCAAAGCGAAGCAGCGCTTTCCCCTCTCTTCTAGACGGGGATCTGCTGGGCTGGGTAAGAGGAGGACGCCCATGTCCTGGAGCTCAGCTGAAGGTCCAAGCAGCCGGAAGCAGCCACACGTTCATAGATCCACCAATCCCTCCTGCTCCTCTCGCTGGCTGTTGGCAGGGAGCTTTCGTTCAGCACGCTGGTCACGCTGACCTTCTGCTTTGCAAAAGCACATTTTCCCAGCAAGGGGAGCTGTGACCGAGGCAAGCTGCTCTTCCAGCTGGGAACCAGACAGTCTGTGTGCAAGAACTCGCACAGAACACCCTACCCCTAAGGCCAGAGGGCTGCCATAGAGCTCTGAGCGAGCAGCACCTGCTGGCATTGCTACAGCTGCCTTGAATATTGCGTTAGCTGCTGCAGCGACCGTTTCCCACCCCCTGACAGCAGCCAGCCTCCGGCAGAGAAATCCCAGCCCCTGCTGGGGTCCCCTCTCCTGCCGTGTCCCCAGATGCTTCGAGGAGGTGGCCAGATGCTGTCAGAAACAGCCTCGATGCTAGAGGAAAGAGTTACCAGGTTTTTGCAAGGCAACAGCGAGCCAGGCTGTGCCTTCTACAGGAAACACTGCACTTACTCACCCGTCACATGGGGCTTCGCAGGAGGAAGGGTAAAGCCCTGAGAGCTGGGCAAGTTCCTGCAGGGACACTTCACTTTGTCAGCCTAAAACCCCTCTGCTTTTGCGTGAAACGCGGGCTGGCCAGAGCCCCAGCCTGTTTGCTCAGCAGGTGAGATACTGCAATGCTGGTTTTGTGTTGAACACACAAACTTGCACTCTGGCACCTTCACACGTATTAATTTGACCTGATATACAAGAGGTTTACATTTCCTGAGCCCAGGGGCTTGGGCTTCTGCTCAGGGCAACGCTGTGCCCTGAAATAGCTACATCTTACCAAGGAAAGAGCTGGTTTTCAGCAGAGCAGGTCAGTCCTTGGCGACAACAGGAGGAAGCAGCAGACCTCAGCATGACCTACACGCCAAGGAGCACGCAGCTCCCCTCCACATCAAGCATCAACAGCACTGCGCTGCATGGGAGGGGGAGCACAGCCCGGAGCGGCTCCTCGTCACCCTTCAGCATCCTGCACACCCCCCCTCCCCTCCCCTCAACTTTTTCCCCGCTCGGTGCACTCCAAGACTTGTTGAGCGCTGAGCAGGTGCCAGCTATTTTGTATGGACTTGCAGCAGGGCAGCTGCAGTAGAAAAGACCGGCTCTGCCTCAGGCTGGAGGTGCTCATCCGTGGTCCTTTCTGCTCAGAGCGTGATCTGAGGGGGTTCCGCAGCCCTGCTCCCCCTGGGTGACAGCGACCCCAAAGAAACTCAGCTTCTTGTAGCCATCAGCAAGCTCACACCAAGCAGAGCAGCTTTGAAGGACCCCATGACAACAGACCTGCTCCACTTCTACCACTTAATGGGCACCAGGCCACTTTCTGCACATTGCCAGATGCCAAAACACGGCGTGAGCCTTGGGCTGCTGGAGCCTGGACAGGCAGATCTAGTTGAGACTGTGCAGACTTATCTCAGTGCAGGGCCATTCCTCCTTGCCCACCCACAGTGCTGGGACAAGCCATGATTTTTCTGGCAGGCCCCAAGCAGCAGCACCCAGATACTCCTCTGCTTTCCAGCCATCGAGGCAGCCTGGGAGGCACCTCTGGGGGTGCAGAGGCTCCCAAGAGCCCTTGCTGGGTCCACACACAGACATTTGATCCAGCACTGAGCCGTAGGAGAGCAACACAGCCCCCCTCTCGCCCAGTGCAAGGCAAGGGGTCTCCATCCCTGGAGAGCAGCTTCTAAGTCCCCTTCATGCAGTCTTCTGCTTCTGTCCACCAGCAAGGCAGAGCGTGGACCATGGAGGAGGCCAGTAAGGTTCATCTGGACCCCTTTCAGCACTGCTGGCTCCAAATACCTGGAATGCTAGTGCTGCCCGGGAACTGGCTGCAGACAGGGCTGCCTGGCCTCGTGGGATGGCAGTTCCCAGAACAGATGTCTGGGGCCACGCGTGACTCGTCCCTGAGTCACCCGCTTCCAGCAGCCTGGCCCCACCATGCCCAGCCCCAACCCGCACCGGGGCGGTGTGGGTGTGGAGTCGGCCCTCTTCCTCTGGCTCCATCCCTCTGACTGGCATGTTGCAGGACTAATCCTGCTCCTGAGCTCAGCAGCAGGTCAGTCCTGTGAGCTGCACCCAGCCTCGGGTCACCTCTTCTGCTTGGGACAAACCAGAGAGACCTGAACAACCAAC